TTAGGAAGAGCCGTGGGCGGGTGGGGGGGGGGGGGGGGGGGGGGGCGTTGCTGTTTTGTCTAGGGCAGCAGCATTTGTAAATACACCGCTGGCTATTCCTCTCAGGATCCACTAATACAATGAAATATATATCTCATCTCACAGTGAATGCTGCAAACAGGACACCAGAGCCAGGAAAGCACCTATGAACTCCTATTCATCAATGACATCTACAGGCTTCTAAGAACGGCCTACTATTGAACTCGGTATAGAATTTCCATGGCAAAAAAAAAAACTCTACAGCAAATTATTCTAAATACGAATTCTTTACATGGACCCAGAAACACCAATGCAAAATGAAATGTGCTAAAACCTTTTGACATTTAAAAATGTTTTTTGAATGGCACATGGAAGTATCTGTATCAATTTTATATTGCCGCTTGTTCTGCTGGGAAAGTTACTATATCTATCCCTATGACCAATATGTTTAAGTATTACCCAAACCTACATGTCACAGGAGGCCTGCCTCTCCTCCCGCATTGCCCCCCTCAGCCGATCAGGATGGAGAGCGGTGTGGGGGCAGAGACCGCCGTGTGCCGTCACAGGAGCCCTATCTGGCAGTGAGGGGCAGTTAGCTGTCAAAATAGACAGAGCTCTCATCCCTGCGCTGCCCGTTCAGCCTCCTGTGACAACGCGTCAGGATGGAGAGAGGTACAAGCAGTCAGCAATCAGTAAATTGCTGACGGTTTGTAGATAACTGCCCATAGTATGAGTTACTATGTACCAGTTATGAATGAATAGGAACACTCAGCAGAAAGGATTCCTGTTCATTTATAACAGGGGATGCAGAGAAAGATAGCGGACTCTGGGTCCTCAATCTCTTTTTCTATTGTAAAAGGGAAATATCAGGAGTCTAAGCACCAGCTGTAATTTTTAGGGTGCATTGGATACCTGGCTCCTAGGATTTGGCCACTCCTTATGTAGAGTAATTTATGAAACTAAGGAAGATACCTCACTGACAACTATGAGCAATACAACCGTTCCTTGTCTTAATTCCATAAAATGAGCCCCAATGAGAATAAGAAGGCAGGGCATACACCTAATTGAGGAAACAGTATGTAGAAAACCTGCACTGTGCTTCAAAAGAAGGTCTGGAGTACAGCTGGCTTTCTAAAACATTGTTGGGTTTCAGCAGCTCTGGTGGGCCCTGGCGAGCTTTAGGGCCCTGTCACACCATCAGCAGTGCATTCGGCCTCGGGAAGGCACTGGAATGCAACCCGGCCAGCTCAGTTTTTTGGGGGGCGGTGCATTGAACTTCATGGCCCCGCAGCCACGCCCCAAGCGCGATCGCGGCACCCAAACGCGTGCCACATTAGTGCCTGCGTTCCGGTCCAGTATGATCTGCAAAAGTGTTTGCAGCATTTTTTGCAGATTGCACTGGACCGGAACGCAGGCATTAATGTGCCACGTGTTCGGGTGCGGGCAATCGCACCGCGCGCGCGCGC